TAATATTTTTATTAGACCATTAATTTTATTAAAGCACTTGCTTTATTTAACGGTAAAACCGTTACAATAATGTACAACAAGAGTTTTAATGCAGAATTCATAAGGTAAAACTAGCATATTATTAAATATATAGTCCCCGTTACAATCCATTGATTAAAACAGAGCGGACAAGTAGCCTACGTTTAATCCCTTACGTAAGTTTATACGCGAAACAGTTGAAACTCGGGTCAGGCTTAGCAAGTTGTAATGAAGCTATCAGTCAAGTGGCTTACTAAACTGTGCTTTACTGCGGGAAATTAGCTTAGTGAGTCGCCATTAAAGCAAATGTGATGTGATTCCTTTTATAGTTTGGTAATTGACGGGTTATACATATCTCTATGGTTGTACCACTTTGATGAAACTTGAAAAATATCAGATTTCAGTTCGAAGTACTTATACACTATACAGGTTTGATAATAAGCCTCTAATACATACTTTGCTAACCTTTAAATCCACACAGGTTCTTGTGTCTCGACTAATCACCAAAGATCTGCGAGAAATTAATACAATTAGTAAAGTGTAGTGAGATGTAGCCATACATCTGATTCATCAGCCTTACTGGACAATAATTTTACGAAAGGGTTCCTGTTTTTAACGAACCGTTGTTTTCAAACGAGTAATGGGATGAAATAAGACAACAGAGTGAAATAATTATGCCCTTGCTCATTAGTGAGTAAGCTGCAGGCCTGGAGGATATCCTTAGGTTATTTTACTGGTAACGTTATCTCTGACAAAGCTTATTTTTATAATTGTCTGTTATGCCAACTTACCTGATTGGTTTAATAACTAGTTTTAGCTTTTTTAGCTTTTTTTGGTAACTGATATAAGATCAAAGGAGTTTATTTTATTCTGTAGATAAAACATGTTTCACAAGTTTTGCGCAAACTATGTTTTGTTATTATTACATGCACAAATATGTTAATGAAACTGTAAAAGATGTATTATTGTTGCTTGAATTTCTCCACCTATATTGTTGTAGCTAGCAACCAGAGTTAAATTATAATTTGGTTTCCCGAGTGTAAACACAATTATGTGTGATTCATGAAGTTATTATGTTTGCTGAACCCGTATTACAGTTGTAATTGTGCTAGAAAGCGCTGCTACATGATTGAATTATTTCTGCAAATAATTTTCCAGAACATAGCCTATCAGCCTTCTAAAGGTTCAAGAAAATATTTTATCCGTGGGGTTTTGTACACAAACATTACAATAATTAAAAAAAAAGTTATATTTAAGTATAAGTTATACTATTTGACATAGTAGACCACAAGGTTTTGGGGTTAATCATGTATAATTTCTGACAAACGAAATACTGGTCGACGAAGTACTAATACTAGCCTTTATTAACATTACCCAACGTTATATTTTTATGTAGACAATTGGCGTAGGTATTTTTTTGGATATGTTTTTTTCGATGAAATTTGGTATGTAGGTTCTAATCCATGGTATCTCCAGGCGTTTTTTTTTCATTTTTTTGAAATTTTGATTTTTAATAGGGATTTTCCCATAAAACCCCATAAAAACCGGAAAAATCGGATTTTCTCGATAATGGCCAAAACGATTTTGATAAAAATTTAGTATGTTGTAGCCCTTTAAAGTCTGAACAAAATGGTACAAATTCCATTTCTGTAAAAATTGCTGTTCAAAAGTTATGTTATTTTCCCTTAAAACCCCATAAAATAACGGAAAAATAGTATTTTCTCAAAAACGACCCGAACGATTTTGATAAAAATTTTTTATGTTTATAGTCCTTTATATTCTGAACAAAATTGTACAAATCCCATTTCTGTAAAAATTATAGTTCAAAAGTTATTGTAAATTATGTTATTTTCCCATAAAAACCCTATAAAATAACGGAAAAATCAGATTTTCACAAAAGTGGCCCGAACGATTTTGATAAAAATTTAGTATGTAGTCCTTTAAATTCTGAACAAAATTGTACAAATCCCATTTCCGTATATTTACTCTCACCGCTTACACATGATAAAGGTTGTTGGCAAACTTATGGGAGAAAGAATGTGTCAGAATACTGATACCCTTTATTTGGATATGTTTTTAGTGCTAACCTTCAAGTCTGTAAGTTACTCATGTATAATTTCTGACAAACGAAATACTGGTCGACGAAGTACTAGCCTTTATTAACATTACCCAACGTTATACAGGGTGATTTTTAAATGAGTTCCCCCCCTACTTTTTTCTACATTTCTTAAAATATCAACTCCGGACCACGTCAGATCATTGTAGAGTAGTAAGTACTTCATTTTGACTGGGTATACATTTTTGGCCGCCATCTTGGATCCGCCATATTGGATACAAAGTTTTTTTTTCAAATGTATAGGTAGGGTTGGGACCCATCGTTTTAAACTACTTTTTTATGCTGAATACGATGCTGCAATTCGATTTAAAAAATCTTGACCCATTCTAAAGTTATAAGAACTTTTTATAACATTATTTTTAGCCCATTTTAACATTGTGCATTTATAAACTAAGAACATAATCGCAAGATAGTGCTAGATAAAGATAAGTATACACCACATAATATACATAAATCTTTATCTAGCACTATTTTGCGATTATGTTCTTAGTTTCTAAATGCACAATGTTAAAATGGGCTAAAAATTATCTTGTAAAAAGTTCTCATAACTTTAGAATGGGTAAAGATTTTTTAAAACGGATTGCAGCATCGTATTAAAAAAATAGTTTAAAAAGATGGGTCACAACCCTATCTTTACATTTGAAAAAAAAAAACTTTGTATCCAATATGGCTGATCCAAGATGGCGGCCAAAAACTTATACCCAGTCAAAATGAAGTACTTACTACTCTACAATGATCTGACGTGGTCCGGAGTTGATATCTTAAGAAATGTAGAAAAAAGTAGGGGGGAAACTAATTTAAAAATCACCCTGTATGTTTATGTAGACAATTGGTTTGGGTATTTTTTTGGATATGTTTTTTAGTGCTAACCTTCAAGTCTGTATGTTAATGGTTTGTTCTGAAGCTGTCCATGCTGGACCCAGAGGCCGTTTGTCATTGGGCTATCATAATGCTTCTATTAATAAAAAATCTAAAAAAAATTAGAAAAAACCAAATTTTCTCGAAACAAAATTCAATAACACAGAAGAACACCAAGGGGGATACAGAGATAAATACAAAATGTTTAGTTATCCACAAATAATCTTAAAATGCCCATCAATGAGAGAGTAAATCAAGCTATGGTGTGGAAATGACTAGGCTTGCTGTGGGGTTTCTACAAATTCACTTTTATTTCAGAGACTAACTTAACAAGCAATTTAATAGTGCACGTTTCTATTACCCGTATTCAATTGTATTTATAAAATTCCATTTACGTAATACGGATGCAAAATATAACATTACATTTTCTAAATATGACATCTTGTCGTGCAAAGACTAGTTTCCAACTAAGTATTTAGGCAATGGTTCTTTAGATAAGTTGTATAAGAGACTTTGGCCGAGAAAGAGTGACGGTTGCCTCTTGGAAGCCAATTTCCCGCGCACGCGATATTATCTGCGACAGATAACCGTAGAAGGGGAAAATATAAACGAGGGAAAATATCTGACAAGGAAAAGTCCACTAATAGTTAAAATACATCATCTGTTATGCATTCTGAATGTACTCACTTTTTGTAAATATAGCTGCATTATTTTGAAGCGTGCTATAAAGTTTTTAGTAATGTTTTTAAACACAAAACAAGTAATATTGGAAAAAATATATATTTGACATGTGTAACGAAATAGAAGTGAAAGGAGAAGATATATTTTGGAAATACTGTGGAAAATTAATAATTAACCGTAAGCCTATATTGTTATAAATATACGTAGAATTTTGCAAATATCTTTGATTGTAACATCGGGATCAGGTACATACAGTAGAAGACTGTATACAAAGATGTTCTCCTTAAATATGAATACAAATGCATCCGGGGAATATAGGTTATTAAATTTAAAAAAATTATAAATTTAAAAAGGTAAAAAAGGTTATATACGTATCCTAAAAGACTGCTATGCGACTAAAATAGTCTTCATGACTTAAGTGTAAAAGGATTTAAAAGTATAACCAATTTGACAGTTAAAAATACAATATTGTCATTAGGTCGTTAGGTTTACAATGATTCGTGTAAAAACTGTAATATTATCCATTAAATGTTATTAATCTTTATAAATTGGTTCCATATACTGTATAAATAACATTATTAGCTAACTTACAACTTAATAAACTAACAGTTTTATTTTTATCTAGTAAGGTAAAACTAGAAAGCTTATCTAAGTTCCTTTGGTTTTACCTAGACAATGAAATTCCCAAGTTCCGTTCCTTCGTCGTAATACGTTACGTGTTCTGTATTCTTATTTGACTCTTTAAAACCTCTGGCAGTTTTTCAGCTATTTTACTAAGAAATAAGTATGACTAACATTGAATAAAAATGTAATCACTTAAGTTTTTTTTTTGCATTTCCGAAAAATGATCTAAGGATAAAAGCATTTTTGGTACGGCGAAAAACATCTGAAGATCTTGACTTAAGCAAAATCTTTGTATTATTTACTTTTTTTAAACTACCAACTGAAATCCTAGTGACTTGGGATGCAAAATGACGGAACATTCACACATTACAAACTGAGCCCTCTATAATACCTAGGGATTGAATGTGTATGAATTTGATAATTAACGTTTAAGCCGGGTTTTCCTAGGCGCGGAAGTGGAGACCGGAGAGAGGAACGCGAAGAGCGGACTCCACTACTTGTCTTAGGTAATTTAATGTAACTGTTTTCCTAGAAGCGGAGCGGAACACCATGTTATTCGTTTTTACGCTCTCCGCCCTTCGCACTCCGCCCTCCGCACTCCTCGTTCCTCTTCCGCGCCTAGGAAACCCCATCTTAAACTATTCCCAGACAAGTTTGATATTAACAAATATATTAATATTTTACTTATAATTGCACGCTGCAGTCTCAGAAAAGGAAATAAGACAGTGGTAAGTAAATTGAAATAATTCCTTTTGGTTACAATTTTGTATTTCCACAAACAAACTAAAAATACAATAATTTAAGATGACATAACTAGGAATCGCGTTATCCATTTATGGTATAATGTCTTCAAACACATTTTTGTGGGATTCCATTAGTCGGCTATTTTGTTGGGATGTCAAAACTATTTACGCATGCAAATCTGGTATCCTTCATTATTTTTTCTTTTCAATATATTGTTTAGGTATCTATTTCAGTTCGGCTAAAGTTCATTAAATTCAATAAATAAGATGGGATACAAACACGTTGTTTGAAATCCATATAAATATTTGGGAAAATAAATAATTAGGTAGTCAATTTTGTAAAGAATGAAAATTAATGCTTTTTAAACCATTCTTGTCCATTTTTTTCAGGCACAAAGGATTTCTAAAAGACTGTCCCAACGGGCTTCTAACGGAGCAGGTATTTTCATGCAATTCTTATTCTATATACTTTTTGATTTAATATAAAATTTGTATTACACAATACATACTCAACTGTTAAAGAACTTTCCATCTATTAGGTAACTCGTTACAATTGTTTTATGGTTATGTTAAACAGCGTCACTTTAGGTTACTAGGTATTAATAAATTCAGGGTTTCATAAAAATATATAAACAGTTTTTTCCAAAAGGGGATCCTACGAATTTTGCCTCACTAGTGTTTAGGGTCTTCGATGAAAATAATGTGAGTATGCAAATGACGTCATAATTAATTTTAAAAATAGTAAGTATTTACTTCTAACGGGCTTCTAACGGAGCAGGTATTTGTATGCGATTCATATTCAATATACTTTTTGATTAAATATAACATTTTTATTACTCAATTGTTAAAGAACTTTCCATCTATTAGGTAAATAGTTACAATTATTTTATGGTTATGTTAAGCAGCGTCACTTTAGGTTACTAGGTATTAATAGTGCTAAACGTCCATGTTGACTTGTTGACCATGTTATTTTAAGTAAAATAGAGTTACTGAAGTTGACTGCTTGTTTAAAGGCATACAACTTTATTTTTCGACTATAAAAAGTTAATAAACCAAACGGTTTTGGAGTTTCTCAAAGCTTTAATATTCTTTGAGTAAATTTAATTTAAGCCGGGAAAAGCTCCAAAAGTAAATTTCGTTTCAAAGTGAACCCTTTTGAATGAAAATAATCTGGAACTTATTAAAATGTGTTCAGTTTATTTTTTGATTAGTAGACAAAACCTTCTACAGGGAAATAAATAGTATGGTGACATATTTATATTTGTTTCTTTGTTTCAGGGTTTCATAAAAATATATAGACAGTTTTTTCCACAAGGGGATCCTACGAAGTTTGCCTCACTAGTGTTTAGGGTCTTCGATGAAAATAATGTGAGTATGTAAATGACGTCATTATTATTTTTTAAGTAAGTATTAAAAGGGTATAATACTTGTTATAAGAGTGTTGATCAATATATTTTGTAATTTTGTACTTAAAATAAATTTATTAAAATTGTGTTGGTTGTGGTTAAGGATGCATAAAACAGAGATTCGGTTAACTTATGGTTTTTAATATTTTGTTTACACATAGATCATCTTGAAATTTTTTTCACTGAAACTATTTATAATAAAGTCTATTTAGGACTCAAGCGTTTTAGACAGTACTAATAAAATACGTTGCTTTAATATTTTAACATAAAAAAGCATTCTGAATATCTAATGTTGGCTGGTTAAGAAAACTCGTATGTGGTCTTTGGATACCTTAACAGCATGGATGTAATTATTCATTTTAGTAATGAATAAAACGATAAAAACTAAAGTTAACTAGGTTTTAAACTTCTGCACTCTTTGATAAGATATACTTGAAGTATAAATTAAATCTCGCATAGAAAACATTCTAAAGATAGTTAACTGCAGGGTGTTTATATAATTGTGTTATGCTATACTTTTAAAATAAAAAGAAACTATAAAAGTTCTAACTTCTAGACATAATAAAATGCTTATACAATTTCCAAGTCAATGCACTTTAAACTCACGCACACCCACAATTGGATACATTTTTAATGAGTGGTTGCATTTGTTACTCACCAGATATAAAATCGGCAGCCTATTTCGCGCTACACTACATATCCCTTTATGAATGTAGTGAATACTGCATATATGAGGTTTACTCACAAATTAGCTGAATTCTTAGAGACAATATCTATCCGCATCTATCAGTAGGTTAATTTCAAATAGTAAAAAGCTATGAGTTAAAACATTCAACGCATACGTTTTAACGTATGTAAGCAAAACTATTTGAGCTACAGTATTCATGGATATGAAATTCTGCTTATTTTAATACACGAAACCTCATCATTATTTTATAAAAACGTTGGATCAATAATTTACAATAATGATATCACATTGACCGTACAAAGACGAATAAAGAATTTTGGATCTCGTTAAATGTGATCATTAGTAGTCGCATTTTGTTCAGCATTGATCCAGTTTATGCATGGAGATTACTTTTATTGTTCAGGATGGTTCAATTGAATTCGAGGAGTTTATTCGAGCACTTTCTGTGACGTCGAGGGGGAATCTGGACGAAAAACTTCATTGTAAGTAAACCCGTTAACTTGTTTTGTGTTTTCTTATCTTGTTTTTACTATTATAACTGTCTTAAGTTACGTTAATAATATTAACACAGTACTTCATATTTTCCCGCACTAAATAAAAAAAAAATAATATTCAGAATTTTTTTTATTTTTATAGTAAAAAATGTGTATATGTCTCTGAAGTAACCAAAATTAAATGTTTTGAGCTAATCTAATATGTCTTGTTAAACTTAACAACAACTTAACAAAGCAAAACTATCTTTTTCCCAATTGTATTGTGGAAAAAAATTGGGAAAACCCTGAGTTTGAACAAGCCAGTGACATTTCTTGAACACTGTTTTATTAATCGGGTTTCTTAGTAGTAGTGCAAATGTCATGCTTTTTTTCAGATGGCACTACAGATGGCAGATGGTAAAAATTGAAAAAAATAGTGACTAAGTCAAGACTTCGTAAATGATCAATTTAGCAATCTTTGAATATGTCAAGATATCTGTTATCAACATTCTATCCATCCAAAAACTGTATATAGGCCATTCTGAAATTAAGTGGAATTTTTGTCCCTAAATGTTTTCTACCCCAATGTTATTTTATTTAAATACTTTTACGTTTAAGAGATAAAATCTGCAAAGAACCTGAAATGTAACCACGATGGAATGTCCCCACCCATTTATTAGAACACTGACAAGTGATTTATGAAAAAATTCATTGAATTATATAACAAATTCTCGATATCAGTAATAAAATAATAGAACCTAGACTTAACGTCATCTTAACAATTTTTACAAAAATATCTAATTAGCTTAATATAAGGGCAAATTTTGTCCACGGGGTTAGATGTAACTTCCATGGACCATATATAAAAGTTCAAAAAGTGCTTACTGGATAGCAATAGCAGCACTGTCCATTGGTGGAGTTTTGAGGGAGAAGGGGGCAGTCATATTGAGGTTTCTGTTGATTGTTTTCTGTTCATGTGCCCTACTTATAAACAGAATTTCTTTGATTTCCTTTCTCGCAAGTCGAGTACCTTTTATACTTGTAAACATGTGTGCTACAAACAATGCATATCATATGCTAAAATTTTAACTTATTTCAGAAAAACATAAGCTCTGTACATATGAATATATAGGTTAGGATCTACAAGTGACAGAAAAATGTAACTCCCATGGATAATTACTATGTATAATACAGCATATTATATTATATTATTCATTCTTGACCTTTAAGAAGGGTGTATTGCATTTAGTTTGTTATTAAACTTTTAAAAATATATTAAACATAAATATTCTTTCTAACAAAATTTCAAAAAATCTTGGTGGAACTTCTACTTAATTTCAGAATGGCCCATATTCTTGTTTTACATACTTCATAATCTGCCATGCAGTATATTATTTAAATATTTGCTCGTTACAGGGGCGTTCAGGTTGTACGACGTTGACAACGATGGCTTCATCACGAGAGATGAAATGTACAACATCGTCGATGCAATATACCAGATGGTTGTAAGTACTGTATGAGTTGAATTAAATGTTTAGTAACATAACTCTCAATCTTCGCTCAGCAAAATTTCTTATTTGGACAAAAACTTAAAAGTGACACAACATTATTATATTTTTGCGTTAAATCATGGTTAGCAAAACCTTTTCTTTAAAGAATTTAATTTCTTCTAATACTAGGTTCTCTACGTAGTTGAACCGATGCGGTTTTCGTCCATTCAATTTAAGCTAGATCCATTAATTTTATCAAACATTGTGTGATTCCAAAGAAAAATGTTTGTTCATTTAAAAACTTGTAGTTGCTATACTAGGAGAGCAAATTATTTGATAACGTAATAAAATTTTGTAACGTTTGAAAATTACTTTTTGTGATATCGACCTGTGGTTTCAACCAGAAGATAAAAAAGGTGGAAAACGTTTCAGGTGGAAAATGTTTCATAATATATTACAATATGGATATGTTCCACAAACATAGAACACAAAGGAAAATACATTCAAAATGTATGTCATGCAACGCATCAAAACACAATAAAACAGACATTCAGCTTTATTTATTGGAGCATACGTTTTTCACTCCATTAAAGATTGTGTACAATTCAACAAAATATCGCATACATCGGTTCAACGATCTGATATTTCTCTTGGCTTTTCTTCTCCTCAAGCTTCAAAAACTCTTAGAAATTTAAATTCAAATCTAGGCATTATATTTCAAGTTTGTATAGTAATTTACTATTGAAAATGTTTCAGTTATGTTTTAAAATATCGCATTGACCTTTACCTAATTATCTAAATTTATGTTGCCAAGCTGTTCACGCATCGGAAGAGCTAGTTCTTATAATGTGATAAGGCCTATATGGTAATTTTATATTACAACAAACCATATCACTTATTGTATAGTCTTGTTGAGTAGTCTTGAGTAGTCTTGAGAAAGTTCATAATTTCAAATTTATATTATCCATTAGTAAAATTGTCGTTTACTGTTAATAATATACTTTCATTACTGTATTTATCATCATTACTATGTTACTGCTATCTTTTTTTCCAGTAAGGTGTATGATATCGAGTTTGCTATTAGTGTCTTTTTATAATCTTTCCAAAATGTTATTTCCCTCCTTGTTGTCAAAATACTGTACCTACTATAATTGTCTGGGTAGCCGAGTGGTTATAGTGCTCGCATTCAAATTTGAAGATTGTTGGTTCGAATCCATGCGAGATAGTTTCCAGACCCTGATACCATTTGCCATTGGGCTATTAATTAATGACGCTATCTAACAAAACAATCTACGTTAGGTAGTAACAAGACCAGGGGTTAGACCGTTTTCTTTCAAAGCGTAAAAAATGTATCTGGCCTAAAAACACACAAAATAAAAAAACATCTTTTTAGGGTGTATTACATTTTAATATGTCCCAATTTAGCATCACGATCAGTATAAAAAAAATTTTCGTTGAGGACCTGGAACCTGATCCTGTCCTAAAACTACCTAAAATATAGCGAGATTATTACCTCACAAACCCAGCGAAAGCTGACATCAAATCCCAGAGAACTGAATTCTAGTCAAAAAAGAAAATAAAAACCCTCAAATAATACATAAATGTGTACAAATATAAAATGGTAGGTGTACGCAACGAACATGTCTGCAAAAGATAGTGGCTGGTCAGATTTAAGATCCCAAACGTCGTTAAAATTAGTTTTTACTAGCTGTTGTACCCGTGCTTTGCAACGGGAAGAGGACACAAAATAGAAACATGTTAATCTTTACATCTGTTGTTTATAATAGTTACACATCCGCCAACGCTTTTAGAAACAAAATTCAACTTTTATGGCCTTAATAGAAACGTTTAAGTTATGACTTTAAAATCTGGTAAGTAGTGAATACCACCACCATTTTGGTTTTGATTAATTTTAAATCCTGTGTAGGCTGATATATGAGAAATGCTGACCAAATCTTCAAATAAAACATTGACATACATGATTTACCTTAATTTCCCTTAATTACATATCTTAATTTCACTCTTCTTTATATTAAATCACAAATCCTTCCATCTTCAGTTTCTTCACTCACAATAAATCATTAGCAAAACTAAGTCAGCTGGTATAAACTTTAGAATATTGCTGAGCCTTATCAATACAGTCTTTTGAATTATTAAATAAATATCTAGGTACTATAAAAAATGTTAAACAAATCATTTAGCATTAAAGACATCAGACAAAACTAATATGATTTAAAAATTTTATAGCAAATACAGTGGGGCATATGTTTCATTGCATCTCTGATTCTACTCTACAAAAATATCAAGAAACAACTTAATATACAAACCAGTTCTTTTAATCAGTTCAATCCATTGCCTTTAAATTTTCACACTTACCATTAAGTAAACATAGTAACAGATATTTCATTGATATTAGAAACAAAAGAACAATGTGTACTGCTTAGTTTTATGATATTTTCTTTGGTTTAATTTAATCAGTGGTGTGGCAAAACACAAATAATAAATGTATCAAATAAAGTAAATGTGAACTGAAAGCTATGTTAAGATAAAATAAGAGTATTTTGTATTACCATTTGATAATTAAATATAGTTAAACATGTACAACAGATTTTAGAAAACAAAAATCAACGACGTACAATTTAGTTATTGATGATATTCTTTAGTTTAATTTAAGCATAGGTTTAGCAAAACACAATAACTTAATTTACCTAAATATACATATAAAAACAATGGGATGTGCAAGTTAAGTTAAGTTAATCCAACCCATGTTAAGCAGTTAGAATTTATTTAAAGTATCCTCCAAATTCATACAAAACATCTATACATTGTAATTTTCATAATTTCCATGAAAACATATTAATAACATTATTTTCATAACTTATACACTTTAAAAAATCCAAAGCAGAGCCGGAGTTGATACAGCAACGGTTATAGAATCTTTTTTTCTATAATCATTGACATAGTTTTAGGATAAATAATCCACGATAAAAGGTTAGATTAAAATAAACCTACCTCATAGTTATGGAAAATATTTTATTTAATTTCTTTGTATCAGCTGTCTGAAATTGTGAAATATGCAGTTTAGCAGTTCTTCTTGTTTACCTTTAAATGTCAAATCAAATGTAAACAAACATTGTTAGTGTTCTCATCGCAGCCATGGAGACCAATCAATATTTGCTTTTAAAATGTTTACCTTAGAACTTTTAAAGCCAAAGGGGCAAAGCCTAAGGTCAGTATCGAAATGTGAATAGTCCTATAATGGTCCTTGGTATGGTAGCTATATTTTTGTAAAATTTAAGCCCAGTTTGTTCAGTAGTTTTTGTACCTATTAGTAACACACATACAGACAGACACCATTAGATTTTTATATAATAGTATAGATTACCTTACTCCTCAACGTTAACTACGTACATCCCCAATGTAGACTACCACTTCATACAATTTCCAGACCTATTTTGTGTGTTGCAGGGCCAACAGCCACAAGCGGAGGATGAGAACACGCCACAGAAGCGAGTGGACAAGATCTTCGACCAGATGGACAAGAACCACGACGACCGACTGACCCTGGAGGAGTTCCGGGAAGGCAGCAAGGCAGATCCTCGCATAGTCCAGGCCTTGTCCCTAGGCACTGACCGCCCGGAGAGAGACAGTTCCACCTCGACCGCGTAAGACCAGGAGCAGTAGGGAGTGTTCAACTGACGGAACTTATAATCAGTAATGGAGTGAGCTCAGGATGGACTTCAATAAGCACTGTTAAGTTCCAAGATTCCAGGATTTTCCAAATGTTTCAATAGCTTGTCATTTCGTGATTTTGAATATTAATAGTTTTTTTTAATTAAAGCGGTTCAAATCTAAAAAGAATCTGTGAGGTCGTGTTGGGAATTACCCATCCCTCTTTTACTGTACTTCGAAACGTTATCCTGGCTAACAACATACCCAGGCTAAGCTATTTTGGTTCTTAATTTTGATATTAAACATTCTTTACTATAAAAGGAATCGCAGATTTAATTTTTCTGGGGAATAAACAGAACTGTAATTATGGAGCGATAGAAATCTAGGCTTATTATTGGATCAAAATCAGGAATTAAAAAGTATTTTAGGTTTTTTTTATGACATTTAAAGTTTACACGTAGGAGCGGAATCAAATGCAATATTCTTACTCGTAATTTGAATTAAATCCAATAACAAAAGGGGAAAATGTTTTTGATTAATATGTAAAATATAACCTACAACTGTTAAATTAATTTTGTGAAAAGGGATATTTAACACACATATACTGTATAATAAAGTGACATGTAAAGGATAGTGATTCAAAAAGGTTTTATAGCTCGAATTCCAGACAAACCAGTTTCTTCTTTGCTATCTTAAGGCGTATACATTGAGATTGTATAGATTTTTTGTTTTAACTGGGTTGAATAATAAAATTGTAAAATAATTTAAAATGTTACACGTAATGATAGATGAGATTAGCTCGAAGAAATTCGTAAAGATTAAATGAGTCGTCTATATCAGTCAAAATTAACAAAAAAAAATGTTTTTATTGTATGGTATTAATCAAGAAACTACTTTCGAACTAATAAATACGTTTTCCTTGTTTCAAGGGATAGTTAACACGTGCTTAATAAAGTCCCAACTGACCCTAGTTGAGATCCCATGTTTCTTCATGATAGTACTCAAATGTGTTCATCTGATCTTGATAAAGAATGTTGGAGGTCGAAACATAAGTACTGTCCAAGGTTTCTGGGAACCTTTGCCTAGAAAAGTTAGAGCGTCGATGGGATTTCAACGTGAATTCTAAAATCTGTGTGCAAAGTTTTCTTCAAAGTGTTGGAAAGTGTTGGTGAGTTGTGAAGACATTGACAATCTACAGTTTTATCTGAAGCTTTTTTGAATTCGTACAGTTCCATTAGTGTTGCATATTTAAATTGCCCGTTTTAGAGCGAAAACCAAATTTGTCTTAGGTCATACTAATTTATTTTGATCACTATTTATTTAAATGTAATCTTGCTCAGTAGTACTATTTAGTTAGAAAAATAGGCTAGATGTCTCCAAGTACGACCTAAATATAGCTATGGCCTTATTCATTGCGCTTTGATTTGTTAAGTTTGCTTTTAAACTGGGTGGAATATAAGAGATGGCTTTTTACTATGGATTGATTGTAAAATACTGTGCTTACTTTCCAATAAAAGAGTGTATGTTCTGTGATATTTTTAAACCCTAGATAACATTTATAGCATTATTATTTCCATTTCATGCAGAACTTTAAGAAACTTGTGTTAAGGGTAAGAATTAATTCGTGTAATATAAATTTCCCTTCAAAAATCACAGTTAATACATAAATGACGTTAGCTTAACATTTAGGTAAACTTATAATGTAATGGTGAAAGTGATCCAAAACTATGGCAAAAGGAAAAATAAGTAATTCATGTTTTCCTTACATAAGTTTATCTACAAAATGTAAACAAATCATTATTCAATGTTAAATTATTTTACCTACGACCGTTTTTTAAAGTAGCCATTTCAGTCCAGTTCTTAGAATTGAAAAGTTTCACTTTACAGCTGTTTACTTTCATATCCGCATAGTTTCATTTCATATCCGCATAGTTTTCTCATATCCACACAGGTAACGGACCAATGAGGTTCAAGTATTGAGAGAAAAGAATTAAAATTGTAATGCTTCGAACGTAAACTAATCAGCTGATCAGCTGATCAGTTGACCAATTTAATTGTTGATCCGACTTGTTCATGTTGATACTCGCGTATTCTTAATTAAGTTGGTGGAAGTCCAAAAATAAATGAAATATTTGCCGAATTGTACCTGATACAATATTATTTATAGTAAGAATGCTGCTAGCAATGTAATATTTAACGAAGTTTAACAAACACGTAATTACAGGAAATCAGCTGATTATACAACAAGTCGTTGCATCACTTTCAGTGGCAATGACAATACACGAAAACATAACCTCTCTAAAAAGTTATCATTAGTGATTGTTAGTAATTAAATCCAGATTGATAGTAATTAAAAAACGGTCGTAGGTAAAGTAGTGTACGCAACTCGCGTTAATAGTCTTTACGCAATCGTTGCGTAAACTACTATTTCTACACATACTATATGCAGTTTTTGTTACATTCTTCCACGGTTGAAAATCATATTCACATATATATCAACAGTTTAATATCGTAGTAAGCACAATATTTTACGTAAAAGCATGACGGCTCTGACACTTCCTTCAGAAATCGAATAAATAATTTGGTGTTCGCTCGTATTATACTGTTTTATATCGCGATGTCATCATTTGTGTAATATATTAAGAGTGTTGTTCATTTGAATATTTTTGTATAAATATAACGATATTATTGTATTTGTAAAGTACCTATTTGAATCTGAATTGTTAAGAGTGTACATATTATAACATAATATAGCTTTATGAATTGTTAAGAGTATGCACACAAATCACATCTCTATTATCATTTATCCAGCCAACATAGTTATATAGCTTCCGTCCGTGCGCGGAGTCACTCGCAGTGCAATGCTGCCAAAGAATATATTTAGTTAAATATTTTAAATATGTGTAAATTTGTTAATGTGTATAAATTAAGTTCATTGCAAAAGTTCTTGACAAAATGTTGTTTTGTCGATGTTTTTTTAGATGTTATCATCTTTATTTTACCATTAATATTGGTTATTTTCTTATTTTAAGACAACACATTTGTCTTTCATTTGTTTCTTTTAATATTATGCAATTTTAAAATGTTGCATTGATTTATAATTTACTAGGTAAGCTAGTTTTTGGTTTTAAGAACAAAATTTCAATAAGAATTTCAACTTAAAATTTGATCTAGTATTGAATTTAGTATAACATTATTTAAAAAAGTATGATTCAAAATAATTGAAATAGTAGTAATTTTTTTATCTAAAATTATTATCAAGAAAATAGTGTGAAGTCTTTTTTAAATATTTATTACATCATCTTTATAATATCATCATACGGGTACGGCATTCTAAATTAGCTACATCACCCGATTTTCTAAATACAGTTACGTTTCTTACTAACATTTTATTACGGAAAGAGAATAAATAAATGATTACAATATGATGGAATGGATTTTTACAACAAGTTTTTTTAGCAATTTCTTAAATGTCTTTGTCTAAGCAATAGTTTAATGATTTATCAAACTATGTAATGATGGGATTTATCAGTACTAAATCCCGCTATTACAATATTGTACCGTACTAACGCTCCCATTACATGGTCAAATGCTTACTAATTTAGTAGCTTCACAGTTTAACAATACTTACTAGTATTACAGTAGTCATTACTACAATTGACTTGGATACTGCTAGTAGACTTTTCATCCTATAGATTTTACTGAAGATTGCTACAGCGTGTGTTTCTTATCCAACACTTAAGTGCGTTTGTCGAATATTTTTTCTCTTATTTTAAAGAAGATTTTTCAGCGAAGCTTTTAACACTGGTTATAGGCCTAATAATAAATTACATCCTTGTTAATAACCAGATTGACCTGAAAATATAAAGAAGACTAGTGCACTAACATGCCAACTAGCAAAGATATTGTTAAAACCTGTTGTCAGGTTATTCAAAGGATGATGAATTTACCATGGAGTAAGTTCCCTATATGCTGCTACAGTACCGTGTATCCGTGCAATATGCTTATGCTGTACATAGTTTATTTATAGTGTTTTTACCAAACATCGTTTAATATCTTAGTATAGTGGTATTGTTCTATAAACAATATAATCCATACTTATTTATTATGTTAAACACAACTCAAAGCAAGAACTTAAATCAGTTTTATCATTTTTGACTCTATTAAAATTATAATTAAAATGTAGTTAAATTCATAAATCACTTCCTACGTTTATTTTTAATGATACAATGTGTCAGTCTTAGATATCGAATTACAAATGTGAATGTTTCAAGCTAAACCGCAAAAATGCAAATCACTTAACTGTGTTTATTTTTCTAACTAATTTGGTGAGCCTAGCTTGTCAATGTTGTGTATACAATTCCAATGAAAGTAATAATTAATTTGTGGCTTGTTTTGGAATCTAAAAGTGCATACACTTCTGCATGCTAACATTTACTATTTCGCTTTAAATATTTTTAGATAAACGAATCAACTCATAAATGTAATAAAATAACTAAACATCTAAATAGAATCATTGTTGTTGTTGATGTTGTTATTGTTAACGTTAAGTTATTTTCTACTTATCAGTTTGATGTTAACAAATTTGGACTGTTAAATGTGTGAATACCAGTGATGAATGCCTCATTCTTTGCAATATTTTGTTATATTTAAGGCAATAAAACTAATTATATTAAAACGTTGATTTAATTACCTTCCACTTTTTACATGGACGTGTGGTTTCTATTATTTTCCACAATGACTTGAAGGAAATCGATTAAAGCAATTCAAAGACTCATGAACAGGGATCAGTATTAATAAACAAAAATTTTTATTTTTATTTTATATGTATATGTGTAAACTTCATAATAGTCCTTTTTATTTAGACTTTGATGGACAGTGTGGTAAACCTTACTAGAGAAAAAAACCACCAGTTAAAAATCATTAATGTTTACGTAATAAATTTCATAAAATTCAAAATCATTCTAAGAATCAGCAATTTTGTCCAACTTTTCGTTTTTATAATATTAATTCGAAGACGCTGTCTTCAAATGTTGAAGTAAGACGATTGGCAATCATCTTTAGCTACTTGAGGTATTCTTAAATTATTCGAATATTTGGTAGTACGTTTAAGAAGACGTGAAATCAATTTCAGTCTGAACAAGTTTAACATTAAATGTGCCATAACACATTTAATTTTTAGTTGTACAGTATACTGCTTTTTTGAACTTATAACATTTCCTACTTTTAAATCCATTGTATTGTTAAAAGAAAATTATGTTGAAGTAAAATACCGAAAAGTACTTGTTTGTACTGCCTCGAATTATTATTCTATTCTTTTGATTCTTAAAGACAGTATTTATCAGATGTGCCTTTTTTATTCTGAAAATTTCTAGATTTAAATGTAACTCAAAATTTGGAATAAGACTATTTTGACAACTGGTTTAGGGGGGGAAATCATTATGTTCCCCCATAGGGGAGAATTTCTATGTTTTTTTTTTTTACTTTTGAAATTCAAACGAAAAGAATTGCTGTTTCACTTGTAGCATACAAACTATCTACAATGGGTGGTGTTTTATAATCATACCGTAGAGGAATTACCTTGTGATCATATTTCTTTTGACAACTGGTTTAGGGGGGGAAATCATTATGTTTCCCCCATAGGGGAGAATTTCTATGTTTTTTTTTTTACTTTTGAAATTCAAACGAAAAGAATTGCTGTTTCACTTGTAGCATACAAACTATCTACAATGGGTGGTGTTTTATAATCATACCGTAGAGGAATTACCTTGTGATCATATTTCAGCATAAACTCATTAAAGCATCACTGAATCCACTTGGTAAGCAGGTTTGTTGTATCAAAGGAACAATTCTTGAATTCTAATGCTAGTGGTTTAAGTACTTTATTATGGCAATCCGATTGTTGTATTCCACAACTAGTTTCAACCTGCTATAGTTCGGCCGCTTAGAAAGCGACCTCCTCCAGCATTGGCTTAGCATTAGCGCGCAGGTCGTTTTCTAAGCGGCCGAACTATAGTAGGTCATCATCAGGTGCGTGCAAGGATGATATTACTTCATATGAAGGTCGTCAGTAACAGTTTTTCACACTTACACAAACACACGACGAATAGCGCACATAGCGCGCACACACATACGGTCGATAAAATAAAACATTGAACTCGACAAGGACCCGTGATGATAATGCGGAAGCTGCGTCTAGACTGTAGGATACACAGCTGGTCAGGTATCACCATCGATGTATAATAACTCGATGTATAATAAAATTTAGATTATTATACATCGATGGGTATCACGCACATTTTCTTATCGCTCGCAGTCCGAAGGCTACTCACATCACAATGAAATTCTTGAATAGTCTTGAGTAGCTTGACGATTTTCTGAAAGTCATGCTTTACTTCCACAAAAATGATCGAATACTTTAGAAAAGTTTTGCTCATTGTTCTTCCAGACAGATACATCTTCCTATAAAAATATTGGTTTACGCTGTATGAAATTATTATGACTACTAGCCTTTCCGAGGCTGTAGATTGCAGATTTTGTAGATTTCAACTATGTGTGGAATAATCTTAGTCTATATTTGTCTCATCCGATAACTAATAATATTTAAGTAAGGAGTACATGATCATATGTACATGAATATATATTCATTACATTGGTGGAACATAGTCTGAGTATAATATGTTTTGTACATTAAATATTAATTAAAATAAAAATAATAATTAGGCCTATTTTAATAATAATAATAATAAATATAATATATATTTTATGTTATGATGCAATTGGATTTTTGCATTTTATGAAGTAACTGCTTAAATTTGTCTTTTTACTGTCACGACAGTAGTAGTAGATAGGGAAATCAAATCAAGATCGTCTAGGTGGAAACATTAATTGAAAGTCAAACGACAAATGACATTCATCTAGTCCATCATCAATCTACACGCCTCAGAATTACATTTCATTTTATAATAATCTATTTTCAAATTATTGTAAGTAAACAATTATTGCAGATTCTTTCATAGATGTTATGCTCACTTTTTACAATCTTATGTAAAGAGGCAGTAATAATGTAGGAAATCTTGTACCAGCTATAACAACTTACAGCCATTTATTCCATACAGGTACATTAGGTTCCATACATGAATGTTATGGCATGTTATAACTCTCGCACATACTTTAAACTGGAAATCTACAAATTAGATATAAGATATTATAGATATAATAGATAACATATCTAGAAATTGGACGGTCAAAATTCTTACAGAAACCTCAAGAGAGAAAATACAAAGGATTTAGTCCTACAGATAGGGTTCATCAAACAGCTGATGGTTGACAGGCAGTGAGGAAGAATATTAAAACAACTTTGCTCAGCCATCAGACAAATACAGATTATGTGCAACAATGGGCTATTAATTAACAGCTGTGTCTAAGGAATATGTCGGCCTTAGTCACTAACAAGACTACAAGATCGTGCCACTCATCCTACACTCATTTCCATTCATACTTGGCTTAAAATACCTACTTTGTATGGTCGCCATTTCATCGAAAAGTATTAAAGTATAAAAAAACGGTAGAATTCAAACCTTGTGGCTAAACTGTCCAACACTAGTCCAGAGAAGGTTGATATTCTTAGATTTAAGGTGAGTATGAGTCCAAATAAAATAAGGGAAGTGTCCAACAGCTGTTAAGATTTGCCAAGAACCTAAGGATGATGGGCTGAGTATAGTGGTTGACGTAAATACAAAATTTAGACGATATATACTCGTAGATAGCAAGTTGTACATTAATTAACAAGGACATTAACTTTCCACACAATAAATGATTGTGTACGACCATTTTTTAAAGTAGCCGTTTCAGTTCAGTTCTTAGAATTGAAAAGCTTCACATAACAACATTGTTTACTTTCATGACAGCATAATTTATCCATAACAACACGGGTAACGGACCAATGAGGTTCAAGGATTGAGAGAGAAGA